CTGTTTTTCCTGCTGGTCCAGTTTTTGTTCTAGGTTGAAGACTTCGTGTGCTTCAACGTAGGCCTGGTAGCCGACCACCCGGGCGCCGTCGTCGTTCTGCTGGGCACTGTCGAGGAAGAAATGGACCTCCTCACCAACATGGTAGAACGGTTTCGACATGGTGAGCGTACAAAGCGCCACGCTGTTGACTCTGATCTGGTAGCTGACACGGAGTTTCAGGGGAAGCTGGGAAATGAAGCCCTTGTTTTCCGTGAGCGACTTTGAAACAGAGCTTTTTCTTCGCTCGTTTGCAGCCACAACGTGCACATCGCTTTCTATGAGTGTATCGATGTCACGGAGGAGCTTTTCCTTCAGACCCGAGGGTGCTGCTTTTGAAGGGGTCGTTTCGTCCACAATCGTCGCCTTCCAGTCCTTATCGACCACTGGATGCTGGAGATAATCGTTCTGGAGCCATTCTCTATCCCAGCCCTTTTTGCCCAGCCGAAACTCAAATGGGAAATAGACGCTTCGTGGCGTGAGGTTTCCAGCATCCTCCTCTGAAACACCCACCACCAAAGCGTACTGAATCGAAACGAGTCCAGCGTCTCCAGCTGATCCAGTCAGTTTGGTATTATACGAAGGCGGGAGGTCGTTTGGCGGCTTGGGAACCTTCACAACGTACTTTTCCTGGCCGCCTTTGATGTTGCTGTTGGAGAAAAGGAGCAGCTGCGCCGTCACATAGAACGGAATGGTGTTTTCATGGATCTCTCTCGCCAATTCTTCAGAATGTGTTTCGGGATTATCGGGCGCTTTCGACAACGAATTGAACTGGTAGGCGAGATCGTGCACGAGATACTGCGATCTGCCGTCGTAGCCTGTAGAATTGAGGTCGCTGACCCCTCCAGTCCGCTTCTTAGCAGCATCTTCACCGTACTGCTTCAAAAACGGTGTTTTCTTGACCGTGTCGATTTCCAACTCTAGCTCGTTCTTGCCGTAAAGCTCAATGTATTCGGGATTCTTCCAGTACGGGTTATTGGCGGCATTGGCGGATCCGTCGCTGCCTATAAGGTTGTTCAATCTGATGTACCCTATAAGCTGAACATAGCCTAGAAGGAGCTGTTTCTCTTTGGGCTGTTCGACCAATGTGGATTTCTCCAGCGAGAAAATACCCAGGAACCACCCTCCTTGTGGAGTCTCTTCTTTATTTCCGTTTTTGGCTGATCCATTGGAAGTCTCGCTTATCGAGCTGGAAAAGTCAATGTGGCATTCAAAGAAATCCGGTTCCAGCGGTAGATCCTTGTATGTAACTGCAACGTTGTAGTCGTTGAGGGTGTCTTTTGTGAGCCGCTCGCCCAATGGGGAAATAGAGGGCATAAGGTGGAGTTTGTTGGAGGTGTAGTGGATAAGTGGTGATAATCTGGGGTGTGTGCACACCTGGTTGCAAAGATAACGAAGAGAGGAGACAAAAGGGGCTACAACGGCACGGCGAATCCGGTTTTCACGTTTTATCCTATTTGAGTCGAGCTCTGTCCAGTGTGGGGTGGTGCTGGGGGAGTGGTTGGGAGGGCATATCCGGATCGGACCCAAGTTTCTGAAGCCAAGCGAATGTCTCATTACCGGAGGGCAAGTGGGCGAGGAGTGGGAGCCATATACGATTGTAGAGCTCAAGAATGCCTCCACAGTCAGCTTCCACCGCTCGGGCTCCACCGCTCGGGCTCCACCAATTGCATCCTAGCTGTAGCAGCCATGCCAGCACCTCTATATCGTCATCGTGCTTACGTCTGCTGCTCCTTCTCCTCAAGCTGCTCACGCACAACCAGATCGTTCTGCATCAAGTTGGCCTGGGCTTGGGCGGCATCGTTCGGCAAGGAGGGGTCCTGGCCAGCACCGCTCATCTGGTGGAAGTCCAAGATCTCCGAGTACATCATCACACGCCAGGTGTCCACAGGCAAGTCTGCGTCGTTGAAACTCCAGTCGAACTTGGTCTCACAGATGGGCTCGTCGGTCGGGTCGTGGTAGGGCTCCATGTACTGGTGGGTCAAGGCGTCGGCGGCCGAGATACGCTTCTTGGGGTCGAAAATGAGCATCTTGGACAAGAGGTCGATGGCGTCGGGCTCAACGTGGTTGCACTGGGCAAAACGCTCGCTGAATGGGATGGGGTCTCTGTGGGGCAAGGACTGGACAAAACGCAAGGTGTTTTCGGAGCAGATGGTCTCGATCACGTCGGCCGGAGGCGAGCCCAAGAGCTCTGTAATAATGGAGAACTGGTGGACGTGGTCACGGCCGGGGAAAAGCGGCTTGCCCTCGATCATCTCCGCCAAAATGCACCCGACAGACCAGAGGTCCACCTCGGTGTCGTACTTTTGCCACGTCAACATAATCTCGGGCGCTCTGTAGTACCGCGTGGACACGTAGCCCGTCATCTGGGGGTCCTGGACTCTGGCCAAGCCAAAGTCGCAGATCTTGAGGTCACAGTTCTCGTTGATCAAGATGTTCAGCGGCTTCAAGTCACGGTGGATCACGCCCGCCGAGTGCACGTACTTGAGGCCACGCAAGATCTGGTAGGTGAAGTACTGGATGAACTGTTTTTCCAAGGGGCGGGACGTCAACAAGCGGTGGAGGTCCGTGCCCTGCAACTCGGTGACAAAGTAAATGTCCTCCAACGGCGACAAAAAGATATCGTCAAGCGTGATCAAGTTCTCGTGGCGCAAGTGCTTCAACAACTTGAGCTCTCTGTAGGTTCTCTTGGCCAACACGGACGTGGAGAAAGGTTTCATGATCTTCTTCACCGCCACGTTCTGACCAGTGAGCTTATCGACCGCCAGGCACACAAGGCCAAAAGCACCCATGCCCACGGGGTTGAGATCCGTATAACGAGACGTGATCTCGCACACGGTGCCGAAAATCTGAGTACGGGTGAATTCTCCAGATGCGCTCATGAAGAAGAGATGGTGGTTCGCGTTGGAGTATTTGGAGTGGCTTCGGAAAAAGCGAGATATAGGGTGCACTGGTGGGGCGGGGGGACTCACTTCAAAAAGTACTTTCCTTGGTTTTTTAAAAGTATAAAAGGGAGGAATCCGCTCAATTTGCCAAAATCTTTTGGGTTTTTCCTTTTTTCTTTCTTGCTCTGGTGGGGCGGCTCTATGGCCTGAGACACAGATTTAGCCTTAGACGAGGGATGCAGTGCCAGGTTCACAACCAGTCTCTAGGCTGCTGCGGTGTGCTTTTCTGTGCTTTCCGGTGCATTCTTTCGTTTGTCCAATTGACTTTTGTTTTTTGTTTATCGTATTCTGTTTACTGGTTTTTGTCCTTCTCTTCAAAACAGCCAGGTAGCTTCCATCGGCTCAACGGCCCCTGGAAAGATACCAGACAATGGCGCCCCAATCGCTTCTTTTAGATGTCTTTGTCTCGCTTTGCTAAAAACGTCCTGTCTCCGCTGCCCTGTTGCGTTAGATCGGCTGTGGCTGGGCCATTAGTTTTTACAATTCAGCAAATCTTCAACTCCATTCTGGGAAGTTTTTAAAATCTTTCGTTTTTCTTATTTCCCTTCTTTTGGCTCATTTTCGAATTCGCCTCATCGCCACACTGAGGGACCCCGGGATTGGGCGGGCGGGTCAGAATAGCCGTGGTGCAGTTGCTAGTTCAGGCGTTACGATGGATCACGAAAAGGCATTCGCCTGGATTTGGACTGGCTGAGTGGTTGTTGGTTGGAATTGGAGAATTACGCTGATTAAAGAGATTTTCTTTTGTGATTGGGGTTTGGGTTTGGAGGTTGGTGGTGTCGTTTGATGCACATGGAGTGGTGGGGCGGCTGCATTTGTGATGTTCCGTGGGGGCTTTGGCTGGCATGACGTAGTGGAAACGTTTATTTAGCCGTTTCTTTTGGATGGTTGGTTGAGGTGTGGGTTTAGGCGGATTGGGTGTAATTTGGTGGGTGTTGGCTGTTGGACCATTAATGCTGTACGAATAGTGATGAGGCATTGTTCCATGAGGTGGTTATGGGATTTGGGGGTACTTTTGAGGATTTTATCAAATTCGTTAACTTAAGGATCATTAAATTCTAGGAAGTCTTAGTTCATCGTAGGAGAGATTGTCTGGGGTGTCCCTTGGTGTACTTCGGTGGGATATCACCAACCAGTCTACCTAAATGTAAACTTTCAGCGATTTTGGAAACACTAAATTCTGGAGATTTGAAAAATATTGCAAGTCGAATATATAGGCTTTTCCTTTCTTTTCTTGATAAATGGACCAGGTAGGTTGGACCAAGTAGGACTGGACCAAGTGAGACTGGACCAAGTGAACGATGTGGCTAGTGCACCATACTCGTGGCGAAGACAAACAAACACTGGAATTGAATCTTTCTTCACAAAATTGAGAAATATGAAAGTGTAAGAGAAGGGAAAATAGTGTGTTTAGTGAACTGTTGGTTACGGACTTCCATTGGTATCAGAGAATTGAGACGACATGTACGAAAAACTCACTTTTAACCGATAAGCAGCATTTTGCCATATTTTCCGATCAACCCGCCTAATCAAAAAAGAAAAATTAAGTTGTCAATTCTTCATACCCTAGTCCCATCTGAACCAAGTCCCAGATTATATGAAGGAGGACCACATCTTGAGTACCCTCTAACACGAGATCAACAATGAAACCGTCGATAGATGATCCTGATATGAATAAAACAATAGTACTTCAATAAGCCTTGACTCATAAATCCACGATCCATCATCACTAGAGCCAAATCACCGTGGCTTCATTCCACCATCCTGTATCCAACTACGGGTATAACCTGGGCTTCCCTATCTTCCATCCAGAAAGAACCTCCCAACTTATTCGTCTCATAAATCATGAATGAATCCTTTATCGTGAATTAATCCATCTCTGAAACGTCCCATCGTGTTTGGATTTCACCAGAAATGAAGTCAAGAACATTCCTTCACATGCATCCTTTCGGGCTTAGTTCCATATAATGGAGACCCAGAATCTCAAAATCAATTAACACCTCCTACTTCAAAGGAAAGATGCGTCCAAGTGAAATACTGGCCTTGATTGTCCAAAGAGTTGAGGAAAGGACAGATGGGTTTGACAAGCCTTTGTGTGGTAAAACTGTTGGAGAGGTCTGTGAACCCATTCCAGACGATCAACCTTTACCTGAAGATGATCGCTTTTTATACAGTTTCTTCAAGGAGCGTGTTCATGACTACTGGGATTCAGAACTTCCATCTGATGTTATCACGTTAAAGGGGGCAAGCAACTACCAAGAATGGCGTGTTAGCTGGGACGAGTACATTGAAGCCTTGGTTGGTCGTATTGATATTTTCATTTTACACTACCATGATCAATTCAAAGATGATTCCATCGTTGATTACAACACTTACAGGGGAGAAAATTCCCACAAGTTGAAAGATGCCTGTCAGTTGGCTGATCGCTTCTTGAGTCATGCGATTAAGAAAAGCTTTGATGTTGGGGCTTTCAGGGTAACCGGTAATATTGCAGGTCTTTGCTATCACGAAATCCTCAGCCAAATCCAACTGATTGAAAAGAAGGAACCCCACCAACTAAAAGCGGCCGAAGCTTACTCTTATCTGAAACGAGTAAACATCATCGGAACCTACAAATCGAAGCAGAAGCACTTCATGACTTACGGACTGGATTGGGTCATCAGAGTCATGTGTGACACTGTTGATGTAACCGCATATGACCCTGACCGTGTAGCCAAAGTTTTCGAGAAAATCGAGAAGGAGGTAACAAGATACACCTACGAAAACAACACTCCTAATAGCAGATTTCGTTTCAGTCGGAAGCGGCAGCAGATAATGGAAGATGAAGTGAGGCAGATATGTTTCGAAACTTTGAGTAACCCAGACAGACCCGGATACCTTCCACAACGCAAAAGAGCTAGACATGGTCACCAACAGTACCGCTCCAACAAGCAAATGAGAGTTGGTGCTTGATTATGCTGGTCATACGATCTGTCTTGTTTATAGTCATTGAAAATATTTTGATCGGGTATCAAAATACACATTCGTTATTGATTTGACTCAGTAGATTTGATTTCTTCCCTTGTACAGAATCGAATACCAGAAAGAAACCATCTTTTCAAATAAAACGAAGGAATTTTTTTCAAAATCGGCCCTTAATTGTAAAACCCTGTCAAATTTAACAAAATAATTTTTTTCAAAATTGGCCCTTCGTTGTATAACCCTGTAGGTAAGGCTTCTGGTGAAAAAAGCGACGTACATCTTTCATACACATAACATCTATCGAACACATAAGTAGGCTACAACCGAAAAGTGCAGACTGTGATTTCTTGAAAAAACACTCATCTTATCAAATGCATCCAGAGGATATCCTGAAGTTGATCATCAAAAGGGTCAAGGAAAGAACTGACGGTTTTAAAGACCCAAACGAACGCAGAGGCCTTCAACTCAAAGATGTCGTTAAACCCTATCCCAACGATCAGCCTTTGCCAAAGCGGAGAAAAATACGCTTTCTGGACGAGTTATTCATCGAGAAAATGGAGTATGCTTTAGAAAACAGTGAACCTACTTCAAAAGTAGTCAAGTTGCGTGGACCAAGAAACTACCATGAATGGCGAGTGAACTGGGAAGACCACATCCACAATTTGGGTATTTATGATGGATACTTTCTTCGACAGTACCATGAGAAGTTTGAGGATACATCCGACGAACCAATCAGTTACGAAAGGTTTAGAGCATCGAGACCGGAGAACTTGAAAAAAGCCTGTGACTTGGCTGACGAATTCTTGACCAGAGAGATCAAAAGCACCGTTGATAAGAAACTCTTAAATCAGGTAAGAGCTTCTACCTACCATGGGATTCTCGAAAGAGTCCGAATGATCGAAACGTTGAACCCTCATAGAGTCAAAGCGGGTGAAGCGTACTCTTATCTGAAACGAATTAACAATATCGGAACGTTCGAGTCGAGGCAAGAACATCACTCTATATATGAGCCCGATTGGGTCGTCAGAGTGATTGGTGATAGTGTGGATGTCACCAAATACGACCTTGAAGCTGTAGCTCAGGTTTTCGAGAGAGTGGAGAAGGATAAGCTCAGGGAGGCATATGAGGAAGCCGCCGATAAAACGAGGCCTATTTCCACGATCCAGATGGAATTCGAGCGTAGAGTGAGGGAGATATGTTACTCGAAGTTGGGAGCACCAATGATACCAGACGACTTTTCAGACTACGACTGATTGCCAAAGCCCGACCAAGTAACTCAATGATGCACAGTTAGGTGATGGTCAATGGTGGGAGAGTGGAATTGCCTATCGAACTGTATGCTTACTGTGAGTGAAGAAAAGTCAGCTTATCATGGGAATAGGTGCTCAAACTCTAATGACTTCGGCTTATGATGAGAGTTGGTGTTCAAGCTCAAATGAAGCCGGCTTAAAATGGTTAGGTGCCAAACACCATGATTTTTTTTGTTCTGAAACAATTGCTCCGTTTCAGTGCTGCCTAGACGATACAATGTAAATAGAAGGCTCGTGCATCGATGCACCTCATTCAGAGTTCAGTGGCATTTCTGTGCTTACCTTACTCAGGTCTAATAAGGTCCGACTAGAATAGGGTTCAAATGCTGCATAACAAAACAGAGCTATCAATCAAACAATACGGCATTTAGAGCCAGAAAACCCACTGGCCAGAAACCCAAATGGAAATCTAAAAACTACCGGTATGCTTTACCATTCGTTGAAAATCACCGTATTATACTACTTCAAACGCCCTCCTCGTCTCCATTTCACCATTATATTCTACCGACAAGACAACTGCAATCCATAATCCCCCCCTACCACACCTCATATACCCTCCATCCAGAATTCACCCTCCAACATTCCAACAAAATGGAACCCTCCTCTTCATCAACCCATACCACACAAATCTACAACACCCTCCCGTAAATCGTCTATTATGCAATGCTAGCGAAGCTCCATCAAGCGCTTCATGTGTTTCTGTCCCACCTCGGGCTCGGCCGTCTTGTGCTTGTGAAGATCAAACAACGGCCAGAACTTCAAGTTTTCGTCTCCTGCCACCGTCGCCAAGGTCGTCCCGTCGGGACTCATGCATCCACTCAAAACCCTCGAATCGTGAGCCAGCGAGATCTCTCCCGTTTTCTGCAAAGTCGGGTAGTTGAAAAGCGAAATGCTGTTCAGCGGGTACCCGTGGGTAGCTACAACTTCATAGCCCGTTTTGCTTTCATACCCCCAATTGAGCGAGGATATCTGGGACTCCGTTTCTATCAGATTCACTCGGGCTCCAGTGGAGGTGTTCCAGAAATGGATGGTTTTGTCGGAAGTACCGCCTCCAGTAGCCAAAAGCGAATTCTGGAAAGGACACCATGCCATGGCCTTGACGGCGGCTCGGTGGTTGGTCTTTTTGAATATCGGTTCCAGAGTCGCTCGAGCATCCCACACAGCGACTAGATTGTCGTTTGCACCCAGACAAAACTGCTGTGCATCGGGACGGTACTCGATTCCACAGACCTCGCCAACGTGGGTTTCCAATTTTGAAACAAGGTGGTCGTTGACCCTCACGTCGCTGTGGAATATGGAACCCTCTCTGGATCCCAGAGCTACTAGGTGAGACAGCCAGCAATGGGCAGCCACTCTGGAGCCTGTGCCGTGCAGAAGCGTTCTGAGCCGCAGGTTGGTTTCGATATCCCAGATTTCGATGCTTCCGTCTTCCTTTCCCACGGAGATGTAGGACCCATCCTCAGACCACCTCAAAGACGTCACAAGCATGTTGTTGCCTAGCTCACACAAAAGCCCCACCGAGCCCGTGGAAGCGTTCCACACGTAAACGGTATCCTCCAAGCCAATGGCGATCAAGTTGCTCAGCGCCCAGGCCACCAAATTGAGGTAGAAGTCGTCTACGATGTTGGGAGCATCTAGCACTCTTTCAGGCGCCGTGGGGATTTTCTTAGCACGAGCCGACGCCACAGACGGTCTGAGTAATCCCGTCTTTTGTTTCTGGCCCATGCTGCTGAACACAGAAAGCGGCTGGGACCGTTCTGGCGGAGCAGGTCTGTAGCACAAGATCCGAGAATTGACATCGAGCCCGCACGCCTCGGCAACGTGGTTCTGGTATATTTTGGACGTCTGCGCCTTGATGTGTGTTTGCGGCAGGGCGTTCGGGTGTGGCTGTTCGTTTTGTGGAGTGAGTTTGTTCAGCGTCAGGTTTCTGTGGCTGGGGATGAATCTGTCGGTCTGGGAGGCCTCGGCGGGCGTCAAGAGCGACGTCAGTCTTCTGAGCTTGGCTGGTTTGGGCGGAGAAAGCATGTTTCTCGAGTCTAGCAGCGACATTGAGGTCGAAAGCGCTGGCTGCAACTTCATGGGAAACTGGGGTCTGTGGAGCCTTTCGACCAGCAGTTTCGCTCGAACCAAGGACGGTTCTTTTTCAAAAGCAATGGCCTTCCTCTTCGGCAGCAGCAGCTCAATCAGCCGTTTCCTCAGGCCCAGAGGCCGGAGGTTGTCCATGATGGAGGCTGCAGTGGAGTCGTGGAACGGTGTTTTCAACTCCATTGACGAAAGTATGGAAGTGTTTTTTTTTTTAGGAGCTGGAGTTGTTCAGACGAAAAGCCGAGAAGTAAATCAAGATGTTCGACGACGCGGTTATTAGATTTCCCAAACGAGAAGGCCCCAAGCAAGAATGGCTGCGAAAAGTGGTACAAACGGTGTTGATGTTCCATCCCAAACAGGAAATGTGATGAGACCGTTGCACCACGATCCACCGATCGAAGCATGGAAGCAATTGCTTTCGGCCAGGGGTTTGCTGTTTGCTGGGGTTTTTTGCTTTTTGCTTTTGGCGGTGTTTTTGGCGATGTTTTTGTTTATTTGGTGATGTGGTGATGCCTCTGTTTCGCAGCCATTTGCTCATCAACATCGCTCTTTTTTTTTTATTTTTGGACCCCAGGGGCAAGGAGGGGAGCACGGCATGGTAGCATGTCACAATCGGCTAACCTGAATGACGCTATGATCTGTGGGGATGCCGTCCGTCCAGGTGGATCCTAGGCAATTGGGAAGGACAGTAATGCTAAGTATGGTAGACGAAAGCAATTTAATCCTGGTCTCTGCATCGCTCTATTTTAAATTTTTGGGTCTCGTAATGCCTGGCGGTCTCGTACTGCTAGACTCCTACGACATCTTTGGTGGTTCTGCCGGGGTAAGCTCATGGCTGGTTCTCACAATGCATTGTCCTACAAGATAGCGCAGAGTGGGTGCAGAGTGGGCTGTTATCTACATACAATCTGGGGCTTTGTATTTGTTTTCTGGGGCTACTCCGGAGGTTTAGACGGCTTGTGGGGAGGTTAAGGTGGGGATGTATGGATTGGAGGCTTTAGCGAAGTAGGCCATTCAAGGTGGAGTTGAAGTGGTGGAGACATCAGAGAAGTGAGGGCTGAAGTGCTGGTTTCTTCAGAAAAAGCTGTAATGACTCATTGATTTACAGAAATAAGAGAGGTTGGTGGTTTGCTGGAATTGAGTCTGTACTACTAATCTGGTGGGCCCTAAGGTGTTGGTTACTCAATGCACTGCTATGCACTGTTAGAGTTGTGTTCGTCAAGTCCACCCTTTGCATTTATTCAGGACCATTGAGTAAGGTCATTAAGGAAGTAAAATTATATAATTAGCAAAATCTGTCTGTTTTGGCAATTGACAGTTCTGCTTTGCCTTTTTCGACGGCTTTCCAAATCCAGCCAAGCGTGAAGTTGACGAAGGTGCTATGCTTATTTTGGTTTTGGCGCAAGAAAGCCGAAGGTCGCTGTAGTGCCTCATTTGAGCTCTCCATGGCATTCCCAGAAAATATGAAAAAATGAAAAAGAAGTGAGTGATAATGGTGTTTCTCCACAAGTAGTCATGGAGGTCTCATACTGAGGATCCACCAAGCGGCATGTCCCAATACACATACACTTTAGAAGCAAGAACAAAGTAAGGCTCTCTTTTCAATAAAGCATCAGAAGACCAAAATAGAAGCCCAAACTAGAAGTCCAAAAAAGTCCAAAAAATCAGAACCCCAAACAAATCCACAACCACCAGTGCCGTGGAGTGGCTGCAAACGAGCACTCGATCCACACTACTCCACCACCCACCCCACCTCAAAACGACCAAACCACAACCAGACATCCAAACATCACCATACATAAAATTCACCAAAACCTCAAATCCACAAAATAAAAAAAATTATCGGAATCGCCGCCGCCTCCGACCAAAGCCCCGCCACATCTGGGGAAACCCGTCACGTGCGAAAACCACCAACTCTTCTTCATGGGCCAAGGACCGTCACAGCCCAAAATCACCGCCCAGGACAGGGCCATTTTGCAGCTCAAACGGCAGAGAGACAATCTCAAACAGTACCAGCGGCGCCTTGCCGTGATTGTGGAAAAACAGCACAATCTAGCCAAACAGGCCATCGCCGATGGAAAGACTGATAAGGCCAAGTTCTACCTACGTCTGCGGAAACAGCAGGAGCTGACGATCAACAAGACGTATGAGCAGCTCGGCAACTTGGAGAATCTTATAGGCACGATTGAGTTCAAGTTGATCGAGAAGGATGTGGTGTATGGCTTGACTCAGGGTAACGAGGTGCTCAAGAAGCTCAACAGTGAAATGAGCGTGGACAAGATCGACAAGGTGCTTGACGATTTGGAGGACGAGCGTGTCAAGGTGGACGAGGTTTCCGATATGTTGGGCATGGGGCTGTTGAGCTATTCTGAGGAGAACGAGGTGGACGAGGAGTTGGCTGCTTTGGAGCGGGAGATTGCTCCAAAGGAGGAGGTCAAGAAGCCCAAAGAGGACGTCAAGCTTCCCGATGCGCCTACAAATGTTCCAGAAGCGGAGCCGGAGGAGCTTCCAGAAGTGGAAGAAGCTCAGAGGGAGGAAAGAACCGCATTGCCTGCTTAAATTAATGGTGTACGAATTGGCTACCTGCTTTTGGCGATACTGTTGCCGGCTGGGTCGTCACATTATCATTGCTGCTGCCTGGATCACATTATCATTGCTGGACCCGGATGGTCCAGATCATAGACTTGATTGCATTACCATAATTCAATACATTATCTAGAGATTCCGCAAGAGTAGTTACTTAAATAACGAAGCTCAAAGAGCCCCACTGCATTATTCAATACAATATCTAGAGATTCCGCAAGAGTAGCTACTTAGATATCACAGCTCACGCAGCCCACTACAATCAATAAAACGTCTCTCGTTTCCTATCTACATGGCCAGGTAGGCCTCTTTTCTGTAGCAAGCTGGTTCGCTTGCAAATGTTCATCCCCCGGTCTACTCATCCAACCAGTCGAGGAACTCAGGCGTGAAGTAACTGATGAACAAACGGGCGCCGGCTCTCAAGAAACCGTTGTGTGCCTCAAACGCAATCTCCTTCAAATCAACCACACCCTTTTCAGCAGCAGCATGCAACATGGCGTATTCACCGCTCACCTGGTACACGCAAAGCGGGTAGTCCTTGCACATTCTCAGGGCTTCGCTGACAATGTCGAGGTAGAAAGTGGAGGGCTTCACGAGGAAAGCGTCAGCACCCTCTTCCATATCACGAACCAAGGCTCTTCTGGCCAATCCAGCACCGCCCGAAGGCAACTGGTACAGCTTTCTGTCGCCGTGGGAAGGAGCACTGCCGGCGATATCCCTGAAAGGCCCGTAAAGCGAGCCCAGGAACTTGGCCAGGTACGACATCACGAGCACCTTGTTCTCGAGCTTGGCCTGGATGAGCCCCAACTTGATTTCCTTGATTCGGCCGTCCATCATGTCGGAAGGCGCCACGCAGTTGGCTCCTGCCTTGGCGTAGTTGACCGCCACAGAGCCGATTCTCAACACCGAAGGCTCTCTCTTCAACGAACCGTCGTCGTTCAAAATACCACAGTGGCCGTGGTCCGTGTACTCGCAGAGACACACGTCACACATGATGTACAAATCGGGAAAGTGTTTCCGCAACAAGCGGATGGCCTGGATCACCGGCCCGTTGGGATCGTCTGCAGCCGTGCCTACGTCGTCCTTGACGCCTTCTTTCAAGATCACGCCAAACAAAATCACCGCCTTGAGCCCCTTCTCCACAAGCGGCTTCATGTAGTTCAACAACTTGTTGATGCCGTGGCGCTTGATGCGGGGCAAGCTGGGGATCTCCACCTCCTCCTCGTCGTCGTCACTGACGAAAATGGGGAAGATGAACATCAGCTTCCGGAGATGTCTCTCCGCCTGCCACTCACGTGCCAACGGGTGGTTGTAGCCTCCTTGGAGCACCGACAGGATGCTGGTTCCGCTTTCTGGAAGGTACGACGCCTGGTGCATTGGGAAGAAAGAGTAGTTGATGTCGCACTGATAAGGTGTAGGCTGGGTTGGTGATGATATGCCTGGAAGGGAAAGGGCGATCGGCAGGAACGAGGTGCTTGGAGACACAAAAAGGTGGTGTTTGGGTTCGGATGTGTCAAAGAGAAAAAAATGACACTATGGGGTAGAAGCTGGGGATGGAGGAGTATTTATAGTGGAGCGGCGTGTGGGGTGGATGGCTGCGAAACCGCTGACTAAGCGGCGTTACTGAATGGAGAGTAGAGGTTTTAAGGAGGTTTTGGATTTTGAGTTGGAGTGGGTGATTACGGTTTTGTGATGTGTTTGGGTTGTTTTTTGTGTGTTCACATGTTGTGGTGGATGGTTAACGATGGCTGCAAAGTGCGCTAAGGTGGTTTCTCGTTTTTAGGGTTTACGGTGAGTTTGGTTCAATTTGAGGTGATGTGGTTGTGGACTTGTGTTTAGTGTATTTGTTGAGTTTTTGGGGTACAGTTACGGGGACCCTGTGTGGATATATGGCAATGCCGCTAAGACCACATTCCGCTGTGGTGAGTGGTAGTAGGTATAGCTGAAAAATAGTGATTTGCTACATTTTCAGTATTTACGAAATCGACGATAATTGACTTCTAGGCGGGAAATTTCTGCAAGTGAACATTGTTTAAATTGTTTAACCGGCGTTGAAGTGGTTCATTCATCATGGGTGCAAATCTATGTACCATAAGGCGTAAGCATGGTCTATTACTTACATATCAACTGTCTATGAGTTCAACAAAATGTTTTCATTCATATACTTTCAAAATCAAAGCATTGTGGCATTTCGCTTTCTCTTCTTTTCACCAGTATCACCCGTACCAATATCAAAAACACCGGTTCCTACAATAAACGTTGAAAGCCAGACACCAAAAGCTTCCAGCCCAATCCCATCCCTACGCCTCTTCATCTTCAATTTGTGATATTCCTCTCTACATAACCAAAAGCTGCATGGTAGGCGTAACCAAATTCTGCATGGTTGGCATAACTATAGACACCCGGGACTAGCCCAGAAGTCCTTTTACTCCACCTTCTTCTCGTCCTTCTCCTGCTTGCCGTAGTGCACAATCTGGCCAGCAAGAACAGCGTTCAAGGCAAACGACGTCAGGTAGCCGGCAAGCAACACAGAGTCTCTGGAGCGGCTCTTCTTG